GGGCGACAAAGCGAGACTCTGTCTCAAAAAAAAAAGTGCATACTTTAAGTAAATTTCTTAACAAACTAAGATTTTTACCATTCAATAGAATGGCAAAATTAATACAATAGATTTCCCCCATGCTATTTGATGTTACTTCTGTTAACTGCACCAGGGCTGTCTTGATATGATTTAGTCAACCTAAGGACCTGAAATGCAAAGCACAGCAGAAATATTTTCTGTATTAGATAAAACTTAAAGAATGAGCATTTATTAAACATCAATGATGTGATAGACATTAATTTGCATAAATAGTCATCAGGATATCTGATACCTACAGTTTCAAACATTTCCTTTTTCCCCAGAGGATATATGAACTGCAAATGGAAATTAAAAGGAAAACCAAGTTGAAAGTTAATCTGGAGAGGGGTCATTAACCGTTGTGAAATCCAAGCAACATAGTAGCCCAGTTTCACAGGTAGAAAGCCTTTCCCCTCACTTCCCCCTACCCTCAGGAACATTAGTTACTTGGTTATTTAACCACTGATCTCCCCCTGACTGTGAAGTAATCAATTTTATTACAATGTTGCCCTATAACTATCAGTCCATGATATTCTTTGGATAAAAACTGAAATCTAAATGGCCACCAAAGTAACTGTTTCTAAGAAAACTGCTTCACAGTCTAGATCCTACCAATCTTCTATATAAAATTATAAGAAAATGTATGGAAGGAAAAATATTGCCTGTACTCAAACAGACATAGCTAAAATTAACTGAGCCACACACCATTCATTCAAATCATAACTGAAAGGGGTTTATAATCAGACATGACAATTTTCTCCTTTACCTTCAGCAGGATGGAATCAGAGAAATGTGGACTATTATTTATCAACTAGACTTTGCATCAGATGATTTTTCTGAAGGCTTCAGAGATTTGCCTGTTTATCTTGCAGCTGTGGATAACACTATGAAAGAAGGCTTGGCAAACCTTCTATTTCATTCATGGCTGAAAGAAAATAATAATGTCATCAATTAGCAACTAATGCAATAGTTGAATTGCTGTGGCTTTTAGAAAACATTGGAATTATTTGACTGCCTGTGGGTCTGCCCTATAGTCTGGTAGAAGCAAACAAATGTTCGACTGACATTTTACTAGCTAGAGATTGATGGACAGTGTTTTCCCCATTTAAGAAGCATAGATTTGCTTTCTGGTGTCTAGTTTCTTCATCAATGAAATGAGAAGGTTACTGATGAGCTGTCTAATTAGCTGGCACATTATGGGCATAAAATAAATATTTGTTGAGTGACTTAATTAATAATAGTGATCGTTTACTGAATTCAAACCAAATGTGCTAGATATTTTAGCATTATCATTCTCACTTTGCATGTGGGAAACCTAAGGTTAGAAAGTAACAGAGATGGGATTCAAAGCCTGGGCTTTTTTGTGTACAGTATCACCTTGCCCTGCCTATAGACATTATGATGATTAATAAAATTAAAAACACGGGGCTTTTTGTAAGAATATGCAGGAACATAAGGTGAAAAAGGCAAACTCAGGAGTCGATTTGTCTAGCTGGAACCTTGGCTGTACCATATATTTGCTGGGTGGCCTTGAATAGTTTTGCTTGATCCTAATAAGCCTCAGTTTTCTTCTCTGTAGGAAAAGGCTAATAATAGGATCTATCTCATAACCTTGTTGTGAGAAATGAACTAGATAGATAATTCGTGTAATATGCTTAGCACAGTGCCTGGCACATAATAAACTCAGCATCCTTATTAGCTACTAGCTCATATACCTGGGCCTCTCCACAGCAATTTTGCTCAATTGCCAATAGACTGGTCTATTTTCTCTTAGAGAGCCAAACAGCAGTGCACAGATGTTGGCTAGGAAGGCAATCTCCTTCATTATAAAGGAGGAGGAGGAGGAAGAGGAAAAGGGAGTGAAGAGAGGAGGAGGAGGGAGAAGAGAGATAGAGAAAGAAAACAGGAAGGAAGGAAGGAAGGAAGGAAGGAAGGAAGGAAGGAAGGAAGGAAGGAAGGAAGGAAGGAAGGAA